AAAAACCGCTTTTTTTTAGGCTTTTTTTTTTAAATCTTGAAGTATTGATAAACATAAAATTTTATTTTTTCTTACTAAAATATTTTTAGTAAATATACTTTGTTATAACAATCCATTCCTCAAAAACCTTAAGGAATATAAATGTGTTGCGCTCTTTCGTATATTTAGAATTCTAGGAATAGAATTACAAGCCCATAACTTGACTCTTTCATTAAAGCGCTCTGCTCCAACTTAGTCAAGGCAACATTCATCAACAAACAGAGAATTAAGCCTCAAGCCTCTATGTATATGACTTAACTGTTACGTCTCTTAACCTGATATATATCTAGTATTCATATATTTAAATCAGCTGCACAAAAAACTTTCAATTAGCTTTATAGCATATCTATTGTTCGAGCAGCAGTGGCTCAATCTGTTTCATCTTCGTTTTTCATTATTTTTGTAGTTTCATGCATGTAAAGCGAATTCAATTGAATAATATCCTGTCATTTTGTGTGGGCAGCTACCAGTTCGACTCGTTTGGCATGTCAAAAATTTTATCAGAGCCGCGAGAAATTCACCATGGAGCGGTAAATAAATAAATCGCAGCTAAAAGCTGACACACACACGGATAGACACATACAGACAGACACACTCGCCTCGAAGTATGCAATAAATTGTTGTTTCGGCAAATTTATTGGCATTTTAGTGGCTCGCAGCTCGGAGCATCAAATAAAGCAAATTAAATGCGCTTCCGCTTTGCTTTTATATTTTTATTTTTATTCATTTTTCTCCCTTTTTATTATTATTATGATTTTTTTTTTTTTGTGTTGCTGCCAAGTTTGCTTGTGCTTAATTTATAAATTATTCATTTGGCAGCAGACATTGGGCCCAATTATCATTTACATTGCATGCGAAACAAAGTTCGCTTCGGCTGAAGTTGGCCTAAAAGTAGGCTAAGGCACACATTCGACCCGTTGGCCAAATTAATTTCGGTGCGTGTGTCTGAGTGAGTGTCTCCTCTCCCTCTCCTGCCTGCTGCTCACTCGTTTACTCTTCTCTTTCCTGTTGCTGCTGTTGTTGTTTCGTCTTGTGCCTTGCGGCTGGCATAAATTTATTTGGCAAAAACTTTCGCAGACCGGAATATTAATGAGTATTTAACCTAAATTGTTGCCTTTGATAAGTGGCATGAAATGTTGCCACGCCCACCTCCATCTGACCCTCATTTTATGGTATCAATGCGCCGCAGACAGCACACATATATCACTATGCTTCTGTGTGTGTGCGTGTGTTAAGTTACTGTAAAAAAGGGTTACAATTATTTTATGTAGGGCCTTAAAGTTGGGCTCCTAATAGGATTTCGGCTCGCTTAATAAAAGACGGAACATTTTCCAGTTATCTTTAATATGTTTGCCTTGTTATTTCCGTAATAGGCTCTCAAAGTATTTTGCAGCCAGTTAACCCTTTTTTGGGATGAAATGCCAAATTTGTAACGAATTTATATTGGCAAAGGTATTCGAAGAAAATAAGTCAATAAACATTGTTGACGGAACATTCTGTTATGCAGTTTATTAGAGATATAAATGAAGTAATTAAAGCTTAATTAGTGGAGCAATTAAAAGGGGTAAATAAGTAAATAAAAGAATATTTCTCGAAGCAAGCAAGAAACCTAAGTTGGTGTGGAGAGCATAAAAATGATAAAAAAACAATTTTATTGTTAATTTATTATTTTAAATGATTTATAGATATTTTTAGCTTATTCACTTTATCAAAGAAAGATTTTTAAACAATTATATATTTGTTATATATTTATTTATTTCTATAAATTAAAATTTCACTTAAAACTGTTCGTTGAATAATTAAAATTATAATCAATTTATTTTACTTCAAATAATTTTCATACTAATCAGATCAAGTACTTATGAAACTAAAGCTTTAAATCTTATAAGAATGTATAGTGAAATAATTCAGTGTAGAAACTTTCTTTATTATTTACCTTAAGGCAGTTTACAACTGCTGAAGGGCGAAAATTTTAATTAATTTGTGCATCAGTTCGATGCCTGTCATAATACAAATAGAATAAATAGAGAGAGAGTGAGAGAGGGAGAGAGTGAGAGGAGGAGAATGCAATTCAAACAAATCATTAGCAATACGAACATTTATTTATTTAACTAGCATATCCTGCGTGTGTGCAAACAAAAGATATGCAGGACTCTGAGCACAATTATGCAGCGCCACAAATAATGGCAATATTTTGATTAAGTTAATTAAGTGATTTCACTTCTCGGTAACAGCAACAGCAACAAGAACAAATACAGCAACAGCAAGAAAAACAATAGCGTTAAGGACAATAAGGACAATGCCTATCAACGGGAATTCGTGTTCCTGTTGGGCTAATCCGGTCGCTGCTTGATATGATTACCCGCTGAGCCTTTGTGTGTTAGGCCACATAAAAACATCATATTTCATGCCATTATGCGCAAAACTAGGCCAACAGCAACAACAACAGCTACAAGCAACAACAACAACAAACAATAACAAACAACAACACAAGCGCGCAATAGCCGTCTAATGAATTGCTTTAGTTTACTTTGTGTAGCAGCTGCCAAGGCGTAGCTAAACTTTAGAGTGGACCTTCACTTAATGTGCCTTAGAGTGCAAATGGGAATGACAAAAACACAGAATGTAAAATCAAATAGACAAGTAATTCAAATTCCTAAATACTCCTTTTATTTTACTATGCTGAAATATATGATTATGTAAAAAGTTCAAATTAATTAAATAGACAAATATAATAGATATATTATTCGGATTTGTGACTGATGTCAATTGAATATCAAGCTTCATTACATTGGACCACAGAAAAAACATTCATTCATTTATTCAGCAATAATATATGTATATATTTTATAATTCAAAAAATTTTATT